CTCGGCGGAGTTCTGCTGACACCTTGATCTGACCTGGCCCATGACCCATGCAAAGCTGCATGCTTCTATGCACACACACTGATACAAAATCTCGTATACAAAGGCACCAAGACATAAGGCGGACATATGTATACACACATGTGTACACATATACAACATACGGAAACCCGATGTGTCACAACGCAAGATAACAAAACAAAGATGACATACCGGAGCATGACATAACATGACTTTGCCTTTCACATTACATTACGTGCCATGGCATACATGCACACGTACCGACATATGTACCGACGTACAAACTTCATTACATACAACTTGCAGCTCTCGATACAGACATGCATGCATCCATGCATACATGCATGCATGCTACGTACATACATAGATACTTACATGCTAGCATACTTACATACGGGTGTGCATGCATGCACACATACCGAGACGCACGTCTACATGTCATAAGGTATATCTTCATGTATATGAAGGGATGTGTGTTTGCATGTATGTTTCTACGTATTGGATATGTAGATGCATGTATAAAAAAGGATCTGCACACAAGAATCTATACACGTGGGTATGTCGTAGAATGCTGTAGCTATGGATGTGCTTGTGCATACCAGGAAGAACGTGGAGGCGACAGATACAGCAGTCGCATAAATAGAAATAGTATGCATAGTATCAATAATCGCTTCCCACTAACATTAACCCCACCCCCCCTAATATGCCGGAACGGCTGTGTGATGGGCAGTCTTCGTGTCTGGCTCATTGTTACTCTCAGTTCGACTCATACCCGGATGCCCCGAACCCCCCTCGCCCGTAATATAAAAACTCCGGCACCGAAATTCAGTTTTTGTATTGGGGGGGGGGGACTGGGTTTAATATTAGGGGGTGCGACTAGTATAGTAGTAGGAATGTTGAAAAGATAATATGATTTCTTCCATAACGACAACAATAATCCTCACATCACTCATTATTGTCATTATTGTCATTGCCGTTATCGTGAGTATGGCTATAGTTCTAATGTTACTAACAGTACTACCAGTCTAACAGTAGTAACAGTAACAATCATTGTCATCATGAACATAATAATGCTGGTAGTAATACCAACAGTGATCCCAATCAAAAGGAAAAGCTAGCACTGGCTTGCAACAGACCTACTTAAGTGTGGAGCATGTCTGCCAGCATGGCAACAGGACGGAAACCTCATGACTTCAGGAAGGCATTCCCTTTGCGGTCCAAGATCAGCAGCCGGAAGAGACCCAGTAATTATTAGTAATTCAGGGGCCTAAATCGTTACCAATACTCCTTTGGAGGTTCCTTATGACAAGTATAGTATAGTATACCCCAAAACCCTGTTTTGATTATTAAGACCCCAATATTAAAAGGCCCACTGACATGATCTGGATCAGCAAGTGCCCAATGTGCACGCAGGCCTGCAGCGTCTTTCTGAGTGACCTGGCAACCTTGGTAGGCAAGATTCATAAGCAGTCTCTCCAGGAGTACCACAGTTGGGCTTAGGGTTCGGTTTGAGGGTTCCTATAAGAATTACGGTGAGCAATCTATGAAGGTAATATAAGGGGTTTAGGGTGAAGGGTTTAGGGCTTGCCCTAAGGGTTCATGTACCCATACAGTATATACTTTGGGGCCCAATGTACCTATTATAGTGAGCATATAAAGGCCAGAGTATATACTAGTTGGGTACCTGGACCCTCAGGGTTGAACACGGGAAGCCTGCATTGCCACAACCAGACCTAGCAGCAGTCGAAAGAGTTGCATGAAAACTCACGACTGGTCAACAGTAAACTCATAACCAATCGAAGTGTGAATTCCTAGACTATAAAGTCTCAACCTTTAAACAGCTGTTTACTTGAACCTTCCCGCATAACCCCCAGACTCGTAAGGTCAAGCGCAGCCCAACACTCCTGAAGAGCCCTGAAGCCTCTATACGACTCCTTCCAGCCCTGAACAGCCGTCCCAAAGCGGCTGGAACCCTGGCCCTACAGACTCGGTTTTCCTACGCAGCCCTTAGCACGCCCTAGGGCCGTTCCAACCCTCTACCCCTAAACCCTCCTGAAACCCTCCAAGCCCTGAACCCCAAACCAAACTTGGCTGGCGTTGAGGCCCCCGCTGCCTTTTTCTACGACAAACCAGAGCTTCTCCGTGATCTCCCCTTGCGTCATCACCTTTTGGGCGGTTTTAGAGGAGGCCTCCATAATCAGAATCAGGTTTTAAGGGTATGATGTACACTCTGTGATAGGGAGGAGCCAAAGGAATGATATTGATAGCTGACATTTATTCAGGCTAACTTCCACAGTAAGCATTGAAAGGCTGCACACGTAGAATTTCACGAAGGTTTTTCGGGGTGGGGATTCTCAAAACCCTACCTGGACCCTACGGAACCTAGATTTTTAGGGTTTCTTATGATGAAGTCCTGATATGAGTCCTGCAGAAGCTAGGTTATTTGGGGTTAACGTAAACCTGAACCGTCAGTGACGTAGGACTCAAGGCCCGACACTTTGCCCTACTTGTCGGGTATCATGGGGGGTTATATAGGGAGTTTCCGAAAACAGGGGCACCTTAATTTGGGGTCCTCATATTAAGGATCCTATTATTTTGGGTACTATTTTAGGGTCCCCCATTTTCGGAAACTCCCATATAGGGATTCTAAAAGGGCTATACTACCCAGAAAAGGTTAAAGGCTACCTACTCTACTGCTAGGTTCCATAACATAGGGGCCTTAACGGTCAGAACAGGATCACAGTTGTTTTTTCGTACAGCTGCAACAAGGAACCCTAAGGAACAGAATCGGTAGTTATGGAGTGCTCTTAATTATCAGGGTTTCAGGTATCCTAAACCCTAAACCCTTAGCCCCCCAAAAAAGACTGAACCCTCTGACCCTGGAGCCGCCAGAGCCTTCAGGGCTAGGACTCTGGATGCAAATAAACGGAAGTCTGAAGGCTCTAGGGAATGCAGTTTAGGGTTTAGGGTCTATAAGGCTTTACCCAGATGTTACCGTTTCAAACAATTATGTTACCACAAGGGACTAGTGCACGTAAGTAACGGGGTCTTAGGGGTATGGTCTATCGCAGTGAAAGCGGAAACCTGCGGATGGCTAATGGCAATGATTCTTAGGGGCTGGTACTCTAGACCAACACAGGTTAAACTTTTCAGTCATGGTAGGATTATATGAAGCCCAATAGGTTAAAGGTCACCTACAAGTTCGAAGGATTTTGGGGCCCATTGTACCATAATCATACTACGGAACCACCAAAATAGCCTAGGAAATTATTCAGGCTCCTATATTAAGACGAACCCACATAAGAAAGCGGCTTTCCCCAGCTCAGGCCCCGTGCCATCTCATTGGAATTGAAGCCTCGGGGGTTTTGGCTTTAGGGTTCCATTTGTGTTTTTTTTTTCACATGGCTCTGGGATTAGGATTCCTTGAGAGTTTTGAGCTTTTACAAGGGTTCTCTATTGAGTTCTGAATTTTTTCAAGGGTTCTAGGACAAGGGTCGCTTATTCGGCTTTAACGTGCCTTTAAAGTTTCTACCAGGGTTGTATAATCAGGGCCCATCAGGGGTGGGGTTTAGGGTTTAAGGTTTTTCAGAGCTTTTTGCAAGGGCTCTAAAGGGGCCATGAGGGAACCTTAGGGTTCAGGAGTTTAGGCGTTAGGGGTCTAGGGCTTGGAGTTTAGGAGTTTAGGGCTTTAGGGATTTAGGCTTTAGGGTTTGGGGTTTGTGGGGCTTGATGCGGCTTCTCTACGGTTGTATACATGTTGCGATGGCTCTCTAGGCTTTTGCTGCATGGTTCTCCTGGGGTCCTTGTGAAGGTTAGGAAGAGAGAGAGAGAGAGAGAGAGAGAGAGAGAGAGAGAGAAAGGATTCTGCTGAAACCCGGAGCCTTCTCCAGCCCAGCCCACCCGTCTGAGAACCAAAAGCCCCCAAGCCCTGGAATAGCAGCTTTGATTTTTAAGAACCAGATACCGTAAGGAATGGAATTAAATTGGCAATCATTCCGGCTTCCAGGTTACTTTAAAACCTGGAAACTGGGGTTTAGGGTGTAAAGCTCCAGAACCCTAAACCCTAGACCCTGAATACTACGCCCTTCACCCTGTCGTGCCGAGGAGATTTTCACGTCGGAGTGTTTAGATGAGTTCGTGATCGGGTTTAGGCCTTAGGGTATAGACATGCTTGGTGGGACACTTTCGGATTCGAGCACATAGCAACAACGTGCAACAACTGTTCAACGATGGTCATCTGCTGCAGCTGCGAGTATGGCTGCCATCATTCAGCCGCCCAGTGCAATCGATACGTCTAATGTAGGAACCTGATTAAGAAACACGGGCCCTATAACCCCCAAATGCTAGGAGCCATATAAAGAACCCTCATAAAGACCCAAGGTTTCTTAATCGGGTTCCTATATCATACATATATATATACATATATATATATATGCACATACATATGTATATATGTATACATATATATGTATGTATATATATATATACACACATGTACATTACACGCAGGCAGCCCGAGAGACGCAGTGATGTTGATTCCACGCAGTTCACACAGAGATCTCTGCGAGCAGCCTGCCCAGCAACATGTGTGCCGGGGCTGCTGCAACGAGCTGCGCGGCAGCATCAGTGCTTCGGTTGATGATATAAAACCTGCATTACCTTAAGGGCCCTAAACTATGGGAATTATTGTGTACTCCTTCTTATGGATAATGCAGGATTTATATCATCAACCGTTCCATGCCTGGATCTTTGATACGCCGCGGGGCACTAACGTGGAAACCTGCAGCTTCTCCAGACGGTGCTGTGACCAGTTTTCTGGGAAGCAACTTTCAATATATGAGTGGTTGTCAAAATTAGGGTCCCTTTTTGGGTCCCCAATATAGTATGGCACCTAATATTTAGGGTCACCAACAACGGACCATAATTTTGACAACCACCCATATACATAAAGACCAGAATGGTCGGCCTCTGTACATAACGGTTCAAGGGTTCACCGGTTCAGCCAGGAAAGGTGTCGCGACGGCAACTGGAGCCTGCACCGTCTGAGTCTGTGCCGGTTGAGCTTGATGCAACGCCAGCAAGATCTCCCGTGCGTCTACTGGCTTTGGTGGGTGGCAACAGCACATGAGACACAAGCTGACGAAGAGTGTGATGGTACCTCCGATGCCAAGAACATTACCGCAAAACCCGAGAACCATGATCTTCTGCTCCTCCACGATGTCAAAGGCCGGAAGGGTGCGGTGGAGTGCTCTCACCCAGACTGGGTTTGGGGCACTTACCTGAAAGTCTCCAGGAGTCTCCTCTCCGGAAACGAGAGTGCCCGCATAAATGAGCCGCTGGCCTTTCCAGTCAATGCTGGGTGCCGGCTCGCTCGAGAGGCAGTATGAAGTCAAAGGAAAAAGAAGTCCGGAAGAGGTCTGACGGACGTGAATGGACTGAGCCCGGGCCTGACAATCTGCTAGACTAACAATCACACGGCCGTCTGCTGCGTCATCTGAGTAGAATGCGAATTCACCACCCATGTCAGCGCTGACCGGTAAAGTAAAGTTCCTCTTTCCTTCCACAACAACCCTTAACTCTTTTTCCATCGCCGAGGACTGATATTCGCTCCAGCCCCAACAGCTGGTGATGTACAGAGCGATCCCCATTGGCACGAGACATGTCCCAACAGTGGCCGTGATCTTCGCAGGGCGGTTGCAGCCACATCCATCGCACATGGCACTGCAGGCACCCTAAACCCTAAACCCGAGCCCGTAAACCCTGCTTCGTGGCTGAGCCATCAAACTCTGCGTCATCTAAACATTCCTTGGTGGCGCAGCTGGTCGTAAGAGGGATCTCATCCTTAGGGCGGCACTGAACGTGCCGACGGCATTCCGCGCAACCTCGCCCACAAGTGTCAAGTTCGGGTTTATGACGGTCTTTTTTACAGGGATCTACAAGGGAACCTACAAAGGGGTTCTAGTGTTTGTAGTGTCTTTTTTGAGCGCCTTTTTCCGCCTAGCAGTTAAGGTCGAGTGTTTCAGGGTTTAGAGCTTAGGGTTCCTTCAGAGGGAACGATAAGGGATCTCTAAACTGTAAGGTTCGTATAAGGGGTGCTGGGTGCTATAGGGCTTATGAGTTTATGTGTTGAACAACTTGAACAATTCCCATAACTCCCTAAGCTCTACACCATAAAGCCGTAAACACAAAAGCCCAAAACCATAACCGCCTTCACCCCGAAGCCCTAAATCCTAAACCCTAAACCCTCAACTACTAAATCCCTAACATCATAGGGACCCTTAAAGGGGGTAGGGTGAGGTAGGGGGCCTTAATGCCCAGAATAAGGACCTAGTAAGGCCTATTTAAGGAAGCACAGTCCCCTACCCCCCTCCCCCCTCCCCTCAAGGTCCCTATGATAACACCGACCGTCTCTTTCTTCTAGTGGCCCTCATGGAGCCCTTGTCAAGGGACCCTTGTCGAAACCTTCTAGTACCCGAAACCCTGAAACCCCATAGTAACCCTGATGCATCTCCTCAAAAACCCCTCGTAGAAACCTTGAAAATCCCTCACCGAAACAGAAAACAACCCTAAGCCCCAAAACCCTAAAGCCCTGAGCCCCAAACATAAACCCAGGCCCTACATCACCCTAAAACTCTGCCAACGTGCTCTTCCAACTCCTGGGGCTCTTCCCTGAAACCCCGTAGAGGGGGGGGGGGTAGGTGGCCTTAATACCTACCCGTAGTCTCCATTGTAGTTCCTTTTTGGGGGTTTAACCAATTATATTATATAGTAAGGATCCTATAAGGTAACCCCAAAAAGGAACTACAATGGAGACTACAGGTATAATGAGGACATAATAAGGCCTGTTTAAGGAAGTGTAGTCTTCTACCCCCCTAAGGGTCCCTATGGCCCTATGACTGTAGAAACCCTGATCGATTCCCTGTAGCACCTTCTAAGGAATGCTTCAAGGAACCATGATAGTATCCTTAAAGGAACTCGAAAGAACACCTAGACACCTCAATGTAAAACCCCGAAAAAGCACTTAAGCAAAACTTAGGATAGGAAACAGAATCTCCCATAAAATACCCTTATAGTGAAGCCCAAGAAGGTGGGGATATCTCGGTAAACTGTGGTTGCTTAGGTTCTTGTTTTTGGCCCCTACCTATAGATCACCCTCCCTAAACCCTAAATGTTTAAACTTGAGGAACCCCTTAGGGTACCCTTACAAACGCCTGTAGACCCTAAACCCCTAAACCCGAAGCCCTGATAGGGGTTTCGGGTTCATAAGGGGGTTCGTTAGGGTTCCTCTAAGTGTAGGGTTTAGAGTTGGGGTTTGGGTGTGGGTTTTAGGAGTGAAGGGGTGTAGGTGTGTGTGGATCTGTGGGTATTGGGGTTTAGGGGTTCAGGCGTGTAGGAGTTTAAGGGCTGAGGGGTCTAGGGGCTTAGGGTTTAGGGTTTAGGTTTCGGGGTTTAAGGGTTTAGGGGCTTCGGGGTTCAGGGCTTTGACCCCACCAAAACCACCAAAACCCCAACATAACCTTCCCCCCCTCCCCCCCTCCGCCCCCGCCCCCCCCCCCTCCGACGCTTCCCGGCTCGAGACCCGGACCTCCGCACGCTCCGAGCGGACCAAAGGGTTCAGGAAGTTCACCTCGCTTCGAAGGGATCCCAGATGGGATCTATAAGGGTTCCTTAAGGGGATCCCTCAAGGGTTCATGAAAGGGATCCCTGAAGGGTTCATTTAAGGGTTCCGCAAGGGGATCCTTGAAGGGATCCTTAAGGGGATCCTTCACGGAAAAGGGAACCGTAGGCTGCTAGAAGGGTATTCACCTGACTTCACAGGGTTCCCGTATGGGCTTCCGGTGTTTAGGGTTTTAGGGTTCACGGGTTTAGGGGTTTAGGGTTCGGGGGTTTAGGAAGTTCACCCCAGTTCAAGGGATTCCACATGGGATCTATAGGGGGTTCCGGCTCCTTTACAGTAGAAGCCAGAAAGTTGGAATATGGTTTCATGGTAGGATACCCTATAATTTACCATAGAAGGGTTAGGATAATCATATTCCAACTTTCTGGCTTCTACCTTAAGGGATCTGTAAGGGTTCCTTGAATGGGATCTCATATGGGCTGAGGGTTTAGGGGTTTAGGGTTACGGGGTTCCTTTCAGGGATCTATAAGGGTTCCTTGCAAAGGGAAACCAAGGGAGTATTGATTCTGACCAGGGGCCTTAACGGCCCTAAACTATGGGAATTGTGGTCCATTCCTTTTTATGGGCAATGCCGGATTTATATCATCAACCGTATTCGCCTCACTGAAACGAAAACCATAAGCTCAAAGGATGTAAGGACCCTGATTAATTGGGATTACAAGAAATTCTAGCTGTAGTTCCCCTATTTACAACCCTTCTTACTAACTCGCTTCAAAGGGGACCGTAAGGGGCTTGTTAGCGTCTATAAGGGAACCATAAAAGGGGGTTCAGCTTCATGCGGGGTTTAGGGGGTGCCGAGCTTGGGGATTACGTCCCGAGTTGATGGAGCTCCAGGGTTCAAGGGCAACTTGGCAATAAGGGTTCCTTAAAAGGGGTCTGTGAAGGTACTTTTAAGGGATTAGGGTTTTAGGGTTTAGGGGTTTCAGGGGTGCAGGCTTTAGGGAGTTGGGGTTTAGGGTTGAGTTCAGGGATGCGGGTTTGGGGTGTAGGGACCCCCGCCTTGCGAGTCAAGTCCTAAGAAAAGCAGTATAGACAGACTCACGGCTCAGCATGGATGCACAGACCTGTTAATAGCTGTACTACATCCGAGGCACCCCAAAGACACGTATGTACGTGAATAAATATATATATATATATATATATATATATATATATACATGTATATATATATATATATATATATATATGTCTACACATATATATATATATATATATATATATATATATATATGTGTAGACATATACAACATGCTCACGTTATATATATATATATATATATATATACATATGTGTATTTAAGTCGCTGTCATTGTCTGCAAATATTGGTTCTCGAGTCAATCCCCTGTTTACACGCATGGTTGCATTTGGTGCGCGCGCGCGTGGCATCACACCAACGCAACAAGAGGCCTCTGCCAGCTGATCCACATGTTCCAGCTTCGCAAACTCCCGATCTGCCACGACCTCGCTGGAGAAGCCCGCTACTGCGCGGCTCAGATTCCCAGCCCAATAAGCCATGCGAAGACAGTGCTTGTTCTGGATGCCCGACTTCGATGCCTGACCATAGGGTTTCACACAGTGGCCGGTCGGTTTCCTCTGATCTCGACTTGGCACGGGCCGCACACCCCGCAGGGTTTGTAGCGAACATCATATGGAACCGGAACCGGAAATGCTTGTTCGTAGTCCGGTTCAAGATGCTCGTCGTCAGGTGGAAGCTGTGCCTGGGAAAACAACCAGGGCATAGACAATTTACGACCGATATTCTCATTCGTATACTTTGCCATACCCCAAGAGTTCGTCCGAAAGGCAACCGTCAACCCTTAACTTCGGAGCCCTCAACTAATGTGGGGGCCTTAGTAATTAGAAAAAAAAATTCCTTGGGGGGATATTATACTGTAACGATAACCGGGAACTCCCAAAATAGTAGTGGCAGTTACTAAGGCCGCACATCCAGTAGCTTGACTTGACCTCTCAATCACTTGGACCCTTAGGGGTGTAGGGGGAGGGGGTAGGGGGCCGTAATACCTATCTATAACTAAGGACTTAATAAGGCCTATTTGAGGAAGTATAGTCCCCTACCCCTACCCCCCGAAGGGTCCCTATGACTCAACATCAAGAGAAACAAGAACCCAAAACCGTGCCACCTCGTCCAGCAGCTTGATCCACACCTTCTCCTGCAGCAGCAGATCTGTGTCTCGAACGGGCTGTTGCCGGTGGGTCTTGTGTAAACTTAAGGACTAGTAGGATTTGTGGTCCAGGGTTGGGGATTTCAGGATGTTCGGTGCGGGGTGTACACATACGAAGTCCCCCGAGCCTCAAAGTGTGTTGCTCCCTTACAGCCCTCTGGAAGGAAGCTCGTGTACAGGATCCATTCAAACCCACACCAAAGGATTCTGGAATATCTCGATGGCCTGCATAGGCAGCACAGCCCAGGGCTATTTTCATAAATTCAAATACCGACATTCCAACTCTAGTTCTACATCCTCTTTATGGAAAAGAGATACGATTGCTGAAGTGAAGTGCGTACTCGAAACTCTGAGCATCGGGAGTAATGCCAGCTGCGGCCGTGCTCCCGAGGCAAGCCTAGGCACAACATCTTACAAGCTACCTTAAGCTACCAGAACCTGCTTTTGTGTGGGATCTTACAAAAACCTACTACAATATGGCCAATATGGGTTGTTCAGGGACCCCACAACAAAGTAGGTTTTGGCAGCCCTGCACTTGACCCCCAAAAAACAAGCCCTGGACACGGCTAATGCTCCCACCCCACCTGCGGTCGCCCTTCTCTCCTTCCAAAGCACCTCGGGGCAGGCACTTGCCGTAGTTTGTATTCAATGAGATCAGAACATTTTCGCTCACAGCCCTCAATTCTGAACTTCAAGCGCAACAACCCGACACTTAAATAACCGCAAGCTCGAGGGTGGGCTGTCGCGCGCTGTTGAGGTGCAGAGGGTGCAGTGCACAGTACCCTGGCGTTGAAACATCATCAGTCGACGTCTCGGCTGCCCATCGACGGCAGCCTTCGAGGAATCCCTCAATGCA